CCACCACCACCACCACCACCACCACCACCACCACCACTACGACGACGACGACGACGACGACGACGACGACGACGACGACGACGACGACTACTAACACTCGCTTGGTGGACGAACTCCGCTGCGCGCTGAATGAATACTACCACGAACTGGTATTGTTCTTGTGGCTACCATCAGTATGCCGCTTTCTCATGGGCGCCCGCCATGCTGCACATACAGAGCCCGAGCTATTCTAATGGATCCCAAAATATTGCTTGCCCGATCTGACGGCCAGGTGCATACCTTTGAGCATCAGTGCGCCAAACCAGTATTGTTTCAAAGCTGGCCTTGAGGGTGAATTCAGAACCTGGACTGGAAGCTCCCTGACCAAATTCAGATGGTGATGCGCTGCCTCGAACTTTGAACCCCCAGCGAAGCGAGGCATATGTTCTTGGTTTCAGCCAGATAACGGGACATGTCGAATGCATCCTGTAGTCTCTCTTTTTCTTTTCTCTCTCTCTCTCTCGTGCTCTCTGGGGCTCGATTAATGTATACATGTACACACACACACACACCCGCACACACAGCTCTGTGAATCCAATGCGTCTGCTCAGATCTGACATGGGTGGGTGTGGAGGGGGGGTACGGGCATGCACCCCACACGCACGCATACACACACGCATGTAGTAACGATCACAATAAGGATCACAATGCTACTTACAAAGAGCTGGAACCATACCTCTGTAGAACTCACTGCAATCCTCTGTAGTTTGCTAGCTGCTCAGCAGCCAGGGCGACACGTACAGTGACAGCATCTTTCGGCGGCATGCTGGAGCAAAGGGGCCTTTTGCTTGGAGACGGCCGGTGTTCCATTACCCAACCAACTGCGAAAAAACCACAGGCAGCACCCCAAAGGGGAGTACGGGGGAGACAAAAAGCCGAGAGACCAAGAACAGCCCACAGGGCCGCATGCACGCACGCACGCGCGCTCACGTGCGCGCGGGGGAGGGGCCAAGGAAAAGCAAGACGACCTGCACCCCACTGAGGGGGGTTTGTGGGCGGGGTGGGGGGTGGGGCAGCAGCCCCACGTCATGTACATGCGGGTACGGTTTGACGAACGTAGCAACACGTGCATTACACAGAGATACGGAAAACGAAACATACATGCATGCAGCTACCTTACGTATATGTAATGTATATCGTGTATATTTGTATACATACATATAGTTACATACTTTTTTGTGCAGGGTATATATTGCCAACAGTGGCAGGACTCAGCATCAGTTGAAGGCAGTTAGCCTAAAGATTCAACCGGCGAGCCTCAACGTCGGGAAGACCGGCAAAGGGTCTTATCACCGAATGATGAAAGCCTCTTCCTACGAACCTGCCTGAATCCTGAACGTTAGTACGCCGAATTCCCGCACTTGTAAATCCGTAAACCCGACAGCCTCAAGGCCCAAACTCAACCCTACTTGCCGCCTGTAACGTTGGGGCTGAGGGCTTTAGCGCTGAGCCTCTGAAGGACAGCAGCGGGTTCCGAGGGAAAGATTCAGAGGTCTAGGGCCTCTAGGGTTCAGAGCTTTAAAGGCTTAGGGTTTCATGGTTATGGCGCTGGGGTTTAGGAGTTTTCGGGTTCTGAGGTTTCCGGGTTTCTTTGTGGCTTCGGCAGGTATCAGATCCTGGCGGTCTCTTTCGACGACACCGCCGAGAGAATCTTCTCTGGGTGGGACTCCCGCGAGTGCCAATGAGAGCTCAAGGTTTACAGGAGGGGATCTAAATTCATCCCTTTCCGGCCTTTCCGGTCCAAAGTCCCATCTGTTGCCCATCATGAGGCTTCGGGGTTTTGGGATTCAGGAACTCCAAGGCTTCCTGAGAACCCTTTCGCAAGTCGCCCAGCAGGCCCAGCACCCTGAGCTGTGTGCCAGTCGTGTCAGGGTTTCAGGTTTCAGGGCATTCAGGGTTTTGCGAAGCCCCGCAAGTTGTAGTGACAGTACTACACACCGAGCATTCGATCTTAAACAGTGTCTTGTAGCAACCTGTATAGCTCAGTATCGAAACATCTTATTGTCGATGCCGCGGTCCTAACTGAATTTCCAGGAGCCGCAGCCCGTGTCATGTCAACCCTCTGACAAGCATCGATGCTGGCTGATTGTAGGTTTCTAAGCTCTGACACAGAACCCTGAGCCCAATCAAAGCTTCATGTGCCTTTCGCATCCAATGGTACTTAAGTCCGAGATCCCGTTGCATCATCTGGGCCACGCCACTTACCTCACGCCTGAACCCAAACCGGGCAAGGTCGCTGGATAACACGGTCCTGGTCTACGACATGCGGATGCGGGACCAGGATCCGGAGGTGGGCGAGTTGGTGACAATCCAATACAAGCTGTATCGAAGCATCCGACTTTGCCCTCCTCCTGGCTCCCTTCAGCTGTTTCGGTATTCATCATTAGGGTTTTTTCTGTTTTGAGTCGGAGAACCTCCAAGGGCGAATGGGGTTTTGCGCCAGAGGATACTGTAGGCCTTGAGGCTGGCCTCGCCTCCTCCATTGCATTCAAGGGCTGACGGTCTAGGGGTCAGCCCATGGATTCGGGACCCCCAGGACCATGTACAGTACCGCTCCCATCGAGAAGGTATTTTCATGCAGACGTCTTGAACTCCTGGCCCCATGCCTGAGCCCTTCAAGAACACCCGACACTCATGCAGGGTTGAGGGTTCAGGATTTGGGGTGTTGGAGGTTCAGTTGAGGAATGAGTACCTTCAACGTCATAGCGTTTAGGTTTCGGGGTCTATGGGAATCATAAACCTACATTCTGGAGGGTAGGATTTCGACTGCATGCATGCACCAGTTACAAGCAAGCTAGCTTTAGTACAATCCAATTGCAATGGAGCATAACATAGCATAACGCAAATACCTGGGAGGATACCTGGTTTTTGTATAGGGGGAGCCTGCTTATACTTTGTAGCTGTAGCTCCTTTCTTAAAGTTCTCGAGGCTTTCCGCATACCGCCCCAAGTCCCAAGCACAATTGCTTTGAGGTTTCGGGGTTGGGTGGTATGAACCTCAAATGCTAAAAGCCCTGAAACCTCAACCCCGAACCGTGAAGGTGTGGGAGGGCCATACGGACAGTATCACGGGCCTGGACGTTTCCAAGGCCTGAAGAGATGCGTGCCGTCAGAGTCAGTCTCCCAGGTTTTTAGGACTTTCCGTAAAATTCGGGGATTGGAGGTTAGGAGCATCTATTTTAGTTACTTTGGTTGGCTTCGGATTTCGGACCAAGTGTCTCTTTCAGGACGGCAACTTCCTGGCAACGAACTCCATGGACAACACAGCCGGGAAGCCAGCACATGTGGGCGCAACGAGCTGCTAATGCTGGTCTTCGGGATTCCGGGTTGAAGGTTCGGTTTTCAATTTGTCGGACTCTAAGACCCGAAACCCACCAGATGTGAGGGCTCGCCTCAACAGGCAGCATAAAACCTCGCCGCTGCCAGTTGCTTACCGACATGAACTGAACTGTCCATGTTCTGCTCTCGTCACGGTAGCTCGGTTGACACATCTCACTGTCAAAACCTTGCCTCTCCGGTACGATTTGCGCAGCTCTTTTCTGGACGTTACGCGGGTGGCCGGTCTTACGCACAACGCTTGAGATTGAACCCCTGCACTGTCTTCCTCACTTCGGTCTCTCCTCCCCGCTCGTTCAATTCCATGTGTTTTCGGTGGGTTTCGACAGATAGGGAAACGGAGGATTGGCAACCGACGTGTCGAGCAGGAGGTCGCAAGAAGCTTTTGATCCTCTTGGCGAGGAAAACGAAGATTTTATTGTTGTGTCGTCTCAGAAGTGAGAAGTGACAGTCTCTGGCGACTGCACAAGTCCATATGCAAAAAAGGGAAACGGAGGGAAGGTTGGGGAAGTGCCTCATTTTGTTGCCGGATTTGCTTCGAGGTGCATGGCAACGCTGTCGCTCAACCTTTTCTTCCACAATCATCTGTATCTCTCCTTCCTGCTGCAAAGACTTCTCAGCTGCTTCTGGCCAGGCCTGACTTGGAAGCCAGTCGAAGATGCTGTTTCTCCGTGTCAAAATGAAGACGTGTTCGAAGATGTGGACCCCCCATAGCGCTCAATTAGCACCGTCTGAGCCTCTGTTCGCCGCCACGCCACGGAGTGGCGGATCAGTCTTGAAACTTCGCAGATCCTGCCATTGTTACCATTGCCGTGTACTACCAGCGTTTTGGGATGACTTTCATGTTTCACCGCCAGGGCACCGATGTGCTTGCTTGGCATTCTCTGGAGACAAGCATGGACAACCATTGCCATCAATTGGCAGTATCCCTTTCATAATTGTTGATTGATATCGTGAATACACTGCAACGCCACCTCCTGCTGCTGCTGCTGCTGCTGCTGCTGCTGCTCCTGGTACTACCACCACCGCCACCACCACCACCACCACCGCCGCCACCGCCACCACCACCGCCGCCACGACCACCACGACCACCACCACCACCACCACCACCACCACCACCACCACCACCAGCACCACCACCACCACCACCACCACCACCACCGTAATTGTGATGAAATATGACCACGACCACTACCACTACTGCTGCTGCTGCTGCTGCTGCTGCTGCTGCTGCTGCTGCTACTTCTGCTACTAGTACTAGTCAGTCCTAGCACGGCTGGCGAAGAGCGACCACAACAATGGACGCGACCGCTGCAACGAATTACTTTAAGGTTGTTGCCTGTAGTCTATAACTCGATATGTATGACACATATGTATCTCTGTCTGTCTGTCTGTCTGTCTGTCTGTCTGCCTGCCTGCCTGCCTGCCTGCCTGCCTGCCTGCCTGCCTGCCTGTCTCTCTTTGTCTGTCTGTCTGTCGGTCGTTCGGTCTGTCGGTCGGTCTGCCTGTCTGTCTGTCGGTCTCTCTGTCTGTGTCTGTCTGTCTGT